CGGCACGCACGGCGGGCAACTGTTTGGGAAATAAGGACCCAAACCAAAGTTTGTCCGTGGCGGTGCCCGATTTAAAAAAAAAAATCCCACTTATTACATTATGAGTAAAAACAGCTCTGGCATATCCGTTTCAAAAACCGACATTTACAGGCTTCGACCAGAAAATACGGAGCACGTGCTCACTCTGGGCTGTTTCCTTGGTAGTATTTTCTCAGGCAACTTTTCGAAGTCGTGGCTATACAGCGTGCGGGCCAGACTTTTCACTGCAATCGTGCAACTGCTGTTGTTTTCGCTCTGCTACTACTGTCCCCTCTCCAAACTTGATTTGGAGCTTTCGCGACTGCAGGAATTAATCTTTGGTTCTTTCGGTAAAGTGACGTATAATTATTTTTTTATTAATAGCATATGACGTTTCGATTGCAACACAAACTTAGTAAAATTTGGAAATGTAATGCAACGCAACAGTCGGTCAACACAATTAACGCATAGCCTGGTTGATTACGTTCTTCCAAAGATTGCTAAATTAGAAGTTAAGTGTGGAATTTTGAGAGAGAGACAAGACATAGACACAGAGACACAAAGACCGACACACAAGCAGAGAGACACAGAGAGAAAACACTCAATAACAAACTTAATAAAATTTGGAAATGTAATGCAATGCAACACAGTCGGTCAACACACAATTAACGCATGGCCTGGTTGATTACGTTCTTCCAAAGATTGCTAAATTAGAAGTTAAGTGTGTAATTTAAGAGAGACAAGACAGACACAAATATTTTTTTCCCCTTTCTGTTTTACCAATGACACAGCAACAGACAGTGCGAATGCTGCTGCCACACGAATGCCGCCGCCGCCGCCGCCACACGAACAGAGCTCGTGGGCGACCGGCATGGAAAGGTTCTTCCTCATCCGCTCACTGGGTTAAGATTAAAAGGAAGGGTCCTCGATGGGGAGGGGAAGCAGCATCTTGTTGGCTTTCTCTCGTGGCTCATTTGATGTTTCGGTAGCCCAGGCCCACTCCGGGCCCACACCAGGCCCACAGCAGGCACACAGCAGGCACACAGCAGGCACACTCCGGGGACACAGCAGGCACACACCAGGCCCACAGCAGGCACACAGCAGGCACACACCAGACACACAGCAGGCACACACCAGACACACAGCAGGCACACACCAGGCCCACTCCGGGGACACAGCAGGCACACTCCGGGGACACAGCAGGCACACAGCAGGCACACAGCAGGCACACAGCAAGCACACAGCAGGCACACAGCAGGCACACAGCAGGCACACAGCAGGCACACAGCAGGCACACAGCAGGCACACCCAGCACCGTGCCTTCCTGTCCATTGTTCCTACAAACCCCAAGTAGAGCACATTTTAGCTTCGCCGCTTCACGAAACCAAACGAGGAAATGCAAAGTTTCCACGCAAACGCGACGATAGACTGCGCGCCTCTCAATTCCCTATCTTGCACTACCCTGAGTAACACCACGTGGCTCACATCGACACTATCAATCTCCCCCACGATCAAGATGTCATCTTGCCGACAGCCACCGACGCCACCACATCCCACCAAAGCCTTTTGACCCCCCCCCGCCGACGTACAAATGGCAACAAAAACATGCACCGCAGGCTTTTGTCAATCAGTACAAATTAAAACGGATAAGTGAAATTTAATATCACATGTACAGTTTAAAGACGCCCATCTAATTATAAACTAAACATTCGCCCAAAGTCGGTGTAGAGAAAAAAAGACGCAAATAAACAGACGTCTGTTTGTTTTGTTGGCTGTCCAAACATAGGCCGTCTCGGCAATAAACACTGCACAACACAAGCTGACCTCGTGCTTGACAGGACTCACGTGAACACATACAAGTCACCTGATGTGGAGGAGAAGAACCAGAGTCACGCTTCACCAGCCACATCCAAACAGCGCACGAGACACTCACACAGCACGTAGCCCCAACAGGGCAAGGAATGTACCACCAATAATGGTGCCGGCTTTAATCCTATATAATTTTTTTTTATTGTGACGGGGTCCTAACAAGACAGGCAAAAACACACAGGACACACAAGGACAAAACAATGAGGCACACTCTTTAAGAGACGGTACAAACTCTGTACGAGGCGATGGAACGAGACTGTACAGAAGATGCAATGACGCAGAGCACAAAATGCGACACAAAACCCGCATTACAGACAAGACGAGGATCAAATAGAAGGTGGCGGTCCAAGGACGGCATCGGATACGCACGATGCACACTGCGAGAAGGCTGCACCCACCTCGCGGTGAACCCAGACTGCATGCAGATGGCGGAAATGCTAAGGGGCCGCGCTGTGCAGCGACAGCATGACCCTTATTTTTATTGTAAGCGATTTGAGAGGTTAATGCAATGTGCAATGTTTAATAGTAGCCTAAACAATCATTGGTTTTAAGCTATGTAACTCTTTTTCAGAAGCGACGAGGCCACAAATGATAGCTCAACTTAGTGGCTTATCATGTGGAAATGTATAGCAGCCAAAATACTCTAACGGCGTGATGTTGATTCTAAATGTGGAGGGAAAAACCGGAGGACCCGGAGAAAATCTACACGTCCACGGGGAGAACATGCAAACTCCAAATATACAGGCATCAGGATCGAGATCAAACCCACGGCCTCCTGTATATCAGGCGAGGTAGTTAACATCGCTTCCGTGCCACCGAGTCATCGATATAACATCGCCAAAAATAATCATTCACTATCATGTGAAAAAACGCAATTTGATGCAAGAATCGAATCGCCATGCCCTATCAACGCAATCAATCGAATCACCAGGAGGTCCAATTGTTCTAAAACAGAGGTTCTCAACCTTTCAGTTGCAGTGTTACTTTCAGGGATCATTAGTTTCCATGCCCTTCGTTTATGGATAAAATGCTTGGAAATATAACTTTCACAAAAAAAGTTGTGCTTCCGACGCGTGAATGACGCAAAAATGTTTTGTTTCCTACGTGTAAAAGAGCGTCTCGTCGCACACGTCATTGTATGGCCGGGAGGCGTTTTAAAATAGCCACTGAAGGTTTGTTTTTAGGTTCGGCAAAAAATAGATACGCAGATCTCTCTTGGGCCTAGGCGGACAGCAAGACAGGATGGAAAAGCTCGTTAGGGAACATCTATATATAAGGGAAATGTGTGAATACGTGTGTCTATTCGAAATGTTTAGCATACTTCCCAACATGCAACTAACTTGAAATTTGGCATGTACACAATGCAAAAAGTATAAAAATAGACTTTTGTATTTTGGGGGGGGGCACAATAATGGATATTTTTCGCACGGCAAGTGAGTGGTGACGTCACATCTGTGATGTCACCCGCATGCGGCAGCGTCACGCATCTCCCCCCCCCCACCCTCCGTGTAGGCCGTGTATTAATCCAAGACAAGAATCCAAGTCTCGGGCGAAGTCGGGTAGTAAAGCTAGTTGTTATTTCTTAAGCCACTTGTGGTGAAAAAAAACTTGCCGCTGGAGCACGTAGCAAGCCCACGACGCAGTAAGTTTCATCAAAGAGCAGACGAAGCACCTTTGAGCAAAATCCACATAAATTTGCATCTTCACCAAATGCAGATACAACAGCAGTGATGGTTCCATGCAGTACACACACACACATACTGTACGGCCCTTCACTCCACTGCTGGATGAGGGGGGCCTCCCTCCCCCCACGCTGTGCGCGGGTCATGGGGATTGTTTTGCCGTGAGTACACGCCCATCATTGCCGGGCTGGTGAATGCCCCAGGGTGCAGATGTGGGAGCATAGTACAGTATAATAATGGACCTTGCTGCACTGTACGTATCCCCACAGCTAACGTGCAACGATGACAAGCACTCAAAGTTGAGGAACTGGGCGCTCCTCATAAAATGCACGTCCTGTGATTTCCAGTTTGCAATCTTCACGTACAGTGGACCCCTCTGCTACGCACGAAGCGGCGCAGGTGTCTTAATCTAATATTTCTTACACTGCTCAGCTTTGAAGAAACTCCCTTCCCCGCCTCTTCTGGTCTTGCCAGCTTCATACAGCTGCATTTACCGCCCTTAACAATGGAGTCGAAGCAACTTAAAAGGCTGCGTGAATACAAAACGGTGGCAAATCAATGCCAAGTTACACTGGCAACTGGGTAGTCCCATGTGCGGTGGTTAATGTGTGTAACGCCCATCTTTAATGGGGGCGGTCGGGTCGGGTGGAGGTATAGTAAAGTAGGCTGCAGACTTACCTGCACGTTCTCAATATTTTATTCTCATGCGCGAGATCGCAGGCTTCCTCTCGCGTGTAAATGCTCAATGAGGAGATTGACACAGAAGCTCAAAGCCTTTCTGAAATGGGTGGAAGTTTTTTGTTGTTGCTTTTAATACAGGCGTGTGTATATGCATGCTCGGAGGTGGAGTGGTAACATCGTGGGGTTAGCACTGTCCCACAAACCCGAGGTCCTGGGTTCGTTTCCCGGCCAAGACAAATGCAAGTAGCGAGTGATATCAACCCACACCGACCAGCATGGAGAAGTAACCATCGTTGCGTATTTCCCCAGGAAAGCCACATCGAGTCCAAACAACTATCGTCAAGGTGGGTCCAACAATGACAGTGGGATGTTTAGCCAAAAACAAAGATATTGTATGTGTTTTAGGTACGGGAGGAAGACCGTGTAGAACAGGGGCTGAACAAACTCCACGCAGAAAGGCGCCCCGAGTCAGGAATCGAACCCCGATGGTATTTCTTGCTGCAGGTCACAAGTGTTATCACTGGCACATCCCAATTGCACTTTAAAGGCTATCCATCATGACCTGCACAGGTAGAGTGGCCGTCATCCAGCAGTAAAATGATGAATGGATATACATTACCATGAGTTTGCTACGCATGTTTCATTATGCATACGTGGTGTACCAACCCCCACCCCTCCCTCAGCGTTTGTGCAACGCCGTGGGTTGGACGGTGGAAGCCCCCCCCCGAGGCTGCGTGCGGTCGCTCTCACCGTACGGGTACTCCGTGCCGTGCCCCGGACCAGAGAAGAGCGCCGACGCGGTGCCCGCCGGCTGCACCGGGTACTGCGGCGTCTGGTTCACGTACGGCGGGCGGAACTGCACGCAGGACAGAGCGAAAAGGTGGAGGGCAAGGTCGCCATTAAGGGAAATGCGCGATGACGTGCCACGGCGACGATGACACGTGGCCGACAGCGAGCGACGGACACTGCAGCCGACCTAGGCAGAGTGCGCCGTATACCCCTCCACACTGTCACCGTTCCGATGACGTCTGCCAGTTGCAGGGTGGGGTCCCGTTCACCACTGAATCTCAGAACGTGCATGCGGCTCGGCGTTCATTTTATTCAGAGGCGTAATAGCGCCGTTGCTTTTGAAGACATTGTACTTACTGCAGAGAACTGTAGCGGCACGACCGCACTCTACAATTGCTGACGTCAAACTGTGGCACACACCCCCCAACCCCCCCTCCCTTGTGGCCTTGTGAGAGCCTCAGTGCTGAATAATTTATTTATTTTAAGATTTATTCCCATTCCGTCCCCATGACTGATGACGCAGACACGTACGTCATCGGAATGGGTGAAGTGGCGCGTGCCCGTGGTGTCCCGCACTCTGCGGCCGGGAGAGCTGCCTGGGACCCTGATGGAGGAGTGCCCGAAAGAGCTGTGGCTTTCTCCGCATGGGACGCAATGTGCCGCAGGGGGGGCAAAGATTCTCACGGCACAGCTCGGGTGTCTGGATCTCCCATTCTCAGGCAACTGTTACCTTACACTCCCCCTTGATATTCAATTACATCTCTGATGGTGGCCACTGCTCTGCGTCTTACTCCCCATCTATGCTTTTACAAATTCCTCCCCCTGCAATCCGCACATCCGTGCTGCAAACAGAACTACCCTATCTTTTGCAATCGCTCACCAACCTCTGCTCGATCAGAGGTTTTGTTCTCTGCTGTGGTATCTAGTTGGCCAGTGAATACAACTCGACCACTCTACCAGGACGAGACCGAATGCTACACACCCAAAACATGGTTCATGTCGTTGCATTGCGCCATAATCTACACTTACTTATAATTAATATTAAGATCGAGTTAATTACTGTTATTATATTGCCCAAACAATGTTTATTTTGGGTCACCTTGCAGTGTACGGAGATAACATTGTAGTATTGTCGCACCGCATTGTAGTGTACCACCGTGGCGGCCGCGGGAGCGCATGGAGCGAGACGTGTCGCGAAACCACCGACAGCAACACATCGAGCAAAGGTCCACACACACCAGCAGAGCCCACGGATTAGTGAATGAGTGTTGCCCAGCGAGGTAATTCTCATGCATTTCCCCAACTGGTTATTCATTCATCGGGATTATTCTGTACGGTCTGTGTGGGGCGTGCAGCAATGAAATCACAAGATGTCCGTTTTGCACGATCCCTTCCATATGCTGTGCCTTAACAAAACTTAACATTCAACTATTCTACCGTCACCTTGAGTTTGCAATTAAGAACTTAGGTGTTTTTTTCTCCTAGTTAATTAAGTTCATTCACAAAAATGTGCTCAACACTCTGCACAATTTAATAAAATAGCAAAAAAACACAACCACTGAGCAATAAATGGTCACTTACATGAAGTGTCACGTTTAAAATGGCCGAGTCGACCTAGGGGAGGCCCAGAACCGGTTCCAATAATCGTCAATGGTGTTGGTGGCCGTGAGCAGGAATCGAACTCGGGTCACCAGGTTCATAGCACGGCACACTAACCGCTATGCTTCCACTCCCCCACATATTGATCGCGCAGACACGCGCAACTTCGTTAACCTGTCATCGTCCGTCCAACTTTCACAGAATCTAGCTGCAATAGTCCCATCGTACAGCGTGGCCTCATTCTTACCTTAAGAATGTAAGGGCACCGAGGTATTTCACCGAGGCATCTATGACCTTTGACCTCAGGTCAGATAAAGTGTCGCTGCATGCTAACCGCACAATCACTTGAGTGCCGTCTGCTGGAAAAAGTGTGCTACCGAGTCCGTGCAACGCCACTGGGTATACCAGTGCCAGCGGCAGGCCAATCTCTGTGGGCAGACACTTTCTTTGTCAGTGGGGCAGGCAAGTGGCGAGCATGTGTGACAAGTATCTGTTGCAGATCAGGAATGTATGTAGACTGCCTTTCACAGCATACGTAGCCACCTGTTCTAATCGGACGTGCGGGGGACGGACATACCCCCATCCACAGGATGTGCTCCACTCTCCATTGAAATATAAAGTTGGATATAAGGTGCAGCCCATGAGGGATGAATACACGAGGCGTCCCTGAGATGTGCGCGTCCTATTTGCATAGATGGACGGCTGGCTTTCACATGGGAACAATATATTTAACAAATTGGAGGTGCCCGGGTGATTTGGAGAGAGCAGTGGTTCTCGTTTAACTTTGGGGGGGGGGGGTGGGGGCTGATGGGACACTGAGGTCAACAAGCACGTTCCGAATGAAGAGTCCCACACAACTGTCAAGTCTCCAGCATCGTCGACGGGACCTCGTTCTTTTTAGTAACTCAATCGAGGTAACTCCACGCTCAGAAACACGAGCGCCGTTAACATCCACCATCCGTGAGTAAAAAGCAGGGTCGGTCAACACAGGAGGAGGCAAAGAAGTCCAAACGAGTTGGGATGGAGCGATTAAAACGTTACGCGACCAGCTGACACCGCAGCCGAGTAGAAGACACCCAGACGTTGCTTTCGGTGGCCACGCCACAGAAGTCGACGGGGGCTCCTCGGTGCCGCACGGCTCAACTGCGAAACCCAACGCCCCGTCCCCTCCCGAGCCACGCCGACGCGACACCAGGCAACGTCAACCCAACGCGGCAAACTTCGTCAGCTGAGAGCACGGCAACCGCTCCTATTCATAGGTTTACCAGAAGCGGCCAGCTTGCTTTACACTAAGCCAATGATGATGTTGCCCCTTGTTTACGAGTTTAAATTCCTACGGCCTAATTAACCTGGAGGTTTATTTTTTTAATACACACCGCCCACCTCTACATTAGGGAGTAACGCGGTTCAGTGACGCTCCTCGACTTGAGATGGCAAAGCAAAATCATCGCCCCTCACTGCCAGACTCACTCCCCACTCGCACGCTGGTTTTCAGTTGCGTTGTGCCACACGAGGAGTTTACACCAGGGGGTACGCGCCCTCCGAGTGTGTGAGACGCGATGCGACGCGAGGCGCTTTTCAGTTGCTAGGGCATTTCAGCGCCATATAAATGCAAATCGTAATATTATTACAGTGGTCCCTGGTTTATCGCGGGGGATACGTTCTAAAAATAACCCGCAATAGACGAAATCCGCTAAGTAATCAGCTATATTTTTTACGTAATAAAGGTTTTTGGGTTAGATCGTGTTTATTTATAAATGTGTCGTAACCCTCCACCACCCGACACGGCCAATCAGCAAAAAAAGTGTCACGTTGACAAAAGACAATTCACTACTTTAGCCCACCGGTGTGTTGAAGAGTTAATCCACATTTACAGTTTGAGTACGACGTTTCGCTGGTAAATACATCCAGCATCATCGGGCAATTCGCCAGAATGGTAAAGCCCTCGCTTGCTCCCGGTTTTATATAGAGCAGCAGGGTGACGTCTTCACTTAACTCATATCAGGTGCAGTGATTTAGAGGCGGAGGGGGGGGGTATTGTAATTATATAATCGATTAGTAATCAGTCATTGGTTATGATTAGTAATGAGTTGTAGATTAGTAATTCTTTAAATCAAAATGTAATGTGTATTATTTAATAATACGCTTCCAGGCCGCACTAAGCCTGTAGCTGTCAGAGCGATTAAAGTTATTCTTGTTCCTCTCAATTTCAATGGATTCTCTAATTAGTCTTTACCAGTAATAATTAGTTTTACACACCACTGCAACATTGTCAAAATCAATTGAGTGTCCTTGTTGACAAGCATGTTCTACCACTGCCGACAGTTGTGTTTGAGATAATTTAATAATTCTCTGATGTTCTTTTAGTCTTACGCTGATGTTAAGTCCCGTCTGTCCAATGTAGCAGCTGCCACATAAACAATTAATCCGATATACACCTTCTGTTGATAATTTAGGTAATGCGTCTTTAGTGCAAGGTACTAGTTTTTTTTACAATTATTATACATGTTTGAAGGCCGTAAAACCCCTAACCACACACTTTTATACACTTTTCTCAGACAGGCATTAACATTTTCTCACATTTCTCTCGTATTTAAACACTCTCAAAGTTCAAACTTTCGCAGATTTAAAAAAATAAGGACAATATTAGTAAATTCAACCAAAGATCAAAACCTGTTTTCAAGCCCAAACATTTTTGTAAATCTGGCTAGCCGAACGCATTCTGTACTCCCTTAGCTAATCAGGACGCAGAACACATGTGCGGTTCTCCCTTAGCCAATCAGGACGCCGAACACAATGCGCGTTCGCGTTCATACTGTACGCAGGAAAAAAGCATGCAAAATTACACTAAAAAAAATCCGTTAAACAGCGAGGCCGCGAAAGGTGAACCGCGTTATAGTGAGGGACAACTGTATACAAGTACCCAAGGTGGTATTAATACTTGGTCTGATTTGTGTTATTCGAGAAATGCAGAGTTCCCTGGCTAGTCCTGCAGAGACATTATCAAAGATCCACGCCGCCCGCTTCACAGCGGACGTTAAAGATCCCGTATAGCGGTATTCAGAAACAGTAGGCCATGCGTCACTATTTTTCATGTTGCCAGGTAAGGTTCACTGTGCTATATAAACTCTTTTTCAGAAGCCACCTGGCCACATGATAGCTCAACAAAGTGGCTTATCACGTGGAAATGTATAGCAGTCAAATTCTCTAAACTGATTACAACCAGCTTCTACCAGGATCACCAGCAAAACTTCACGGTATTTGAACAGTAAATGTTGTGGGCTTACTCTCCAACACTGGTGTGCTGAACTAGTAACTAATTGGCACGTTTTGTGCACGTGACAAACCTTTCTAACTGGCTGTCGGGTGAAGGGTTTCACGTCATATTTATATTTAAGCCATATAACCCCAAAAAAACCTTTGTTATGAAGAATATTGATCATGAAAGCCTCCTCCGTGTTAAGCAGCCTTATTATTAACGTGCACCACAGTACCTTACGCATTTGCCGCGTCCTTTCCAGGCCTCACCCAAGATCGTCTGGTGGGCACGGGGGAAATGTTAGGCACGGCTATACATAGAAGGGTTCTTGTGGGAAGCGTCTCACCTGCTTAACGGGGGAGGGGAGGCTGGAAAAAAGTGGCCCGCTCTTTTTTCACAGGTCAATCGATAAAATATATTTTTAAGAGGATAAAAAAAGGGAATCGATCGGCAGCTATTTAAAAAAACAACTCTTCCTCCCGAATATAGATTAAAATGGTAACCATATATAGAGGGGGGGTGGGGTGGGAATGGAAAAACATTTTAAAGAGACGTTGATGAAAATTTTAAAATTCTATACGCAGCAGAACTTTATCTGATCAATTCCATGGTGTCTCTGTGTGGTTTTATATTGTTGATGGTGACCTGTTTATGAACAGACATTGCTATTGGATGACAGCCAAAGTCGACTTTAAAATGGTGAAATTTTACTGCCAGGTCTCAAGTGGAAACATTTTCAAATGTGTTTGTTTTTACTTAAATGTTTGAAAAAGTTATTTTCAACTACAATATGTTTGTTAGGGTTATTTTCATTCATTTTCGTGGTAATTTTTTGTGTTTTTATGGTATGTAATGGCTTTCCAGGAACAGAACCCCAATGTATAACATTGCACCTATGGGAGATGAGGGGTCGACTTACGACGGCTCGACTTCCGACCGTTGTCCAGGAAGCAATTAGGTCGAACGTGCGGGGGTCACCTGTATCATGACCAATTGCAATCTCGCCCAATTTGTTAACAAAACAAGCCAAATGTTCGTGTAAACAAGCGACCGATAACGTTCCATGGTGTGGGGGGGGGGCACCGTGGCCCGCAGATATTTGTTTACCAGCTGTGCTGCCTGCATGCGTGTCATTCGCCATGTGGGGGAGGGGCCTCGTGGTGGCACTGTCATGAGTGGGTGGGGGAGGGGTGGGTGGGGATGCTAATTTTGGTGCTAATTGCAGCCACTGAGGACAGGCAACCTGCAAGCACTGTGGGTCTCCATGTGTGGTGTTACATTTGATGTATTACTTTATTTTAAAATCATAATTTGTCTATATAATTATCGAGCTTCTCCCAGAAACCCTGTCACCTCCACCCCCCCCCCCCTCCGGTACCTCCGTCACCCCACCCCTCTGCCTCCGGTAACCCTGTCACCCCCCCCCCCACCTCCGGTAACCCATTCACCCCCTCCGCCTCCGGTAACCCATTCACCCCCTCCGCCTCCGGTAACCCATTCACCCCCCCCCGCCTCCGGTAACCCTGTCACGACCCACCCCCCACTCCGGAACACCCCCCCCCCCCCCCCCCCCCCCCCCCGGAGCAACGACCACCAGGGCCTATCCCAACCACTCCCCATCAATCCCTCTTGCTCTACCGTAATCAAAACTACACCACCGCTTACAATAAACAAAGTATTGTGGGTCTTTCGGTAAAGTCACGTAGATAGGTTCAAAGAAAATAACAAAAAACCACGACGTTTCGATTGCAACACAAGCGGTCGTCATCAGGAGAAAGGGGGTTAGCCTCTGAAGGCAAACTGTTTATAAAGGTTTAAAATGGGCATAGCCCATTAATATTAGGGCAGGGTAGCTAATGTTAACGTCAGGGATGTTGCTGCTAGAGGTGATGGAAGTAGTGGGTAGTGATGGTGCTGGTGGTGGGCTTCCCCCAATTAAAGGGCTGCCTGGTCTCAAGTGGAAACATTACAGCCAGTTATGACTTAAACTGGTTGATAACGTCCTTCCAGTGATTGCTAAGTTTGTACCCATCTTCTCGGTTGAAATTGTCTATGTCTGTACATATGGATGGCTTTATGAATGAATCTTTGTTGATAGCCAGTGGGTTTGCAAAGTACCTTCGTCTTAGAGAAATCAATTTTGTGAGCCAACCGCATTAAAACAATGATCAGCCACGGCCGACGTATTGGTCCTACCGTGTTTCAGATTTGCCTTATGTTTACAAACACGGTCCGAGACATGTCGCTTAGTTTCCCCAATGTAACTACTGACACAGCTTAGTTTGCAGAGTCATAACTGGCTGTAATGTCTCCATTTTAGACCTGGCAGCCCTTTAATTGGGGGAAGCCCACTGCCAGGACCATCACTGCCCACTACTACCATCACCTCTAGCAGCAACATCCCTGACATTAACATTAGCTACCCCACCCATGCTGCTGACACTTGGGCTACTCCCATTTTAAACGTTTATAAACAGTTCGCCTTTAGAGGCTAACCCCCTTTTTCCTGATGACGCCCACTTGTGTTGCGATCGAAACGTCGTATTTTGTTATTTTCTTTGAACCTATCTACGTGACTTTACCGAAAGACCCAAAGAATATGAATTCCTGCAGTCACGAAAGCTTTAAGTCAAGAATAAACAAAGTCTAAATTTCAAATCGTTATTAATCCACGTAAATTGTATAATTGCTGTAAAGCGCCTTAGTAAAGACACTTTTTAAACTAGATAAGATAAAGACAATAGGCGCAGGCAAGCGCACTCGTGCGATTAGTCAGGGGGCGAAGCCGTCGTTATCTCCGCATTGTTAATGGATAACGCCGGGGTGTTTTGTGTCAACGCATGGCCCCCGCCAGAGGGTAACCCGAGGGTTCTAAATCGGCCCTCTGTTGAAAGGTAAAAGTTCCCCCCACCCCGGGGGGCAGAAGAGGCGGTAGGCTTAAATAACTTGGCGAGACTGTCGCTTGGCTTTAAAAGAGTGTTGCCCAAGCGTGGTCACAGGTCCCTGGTAAGGCCAAGGCGTTGCTCTGGAACCGAGGCGTATACCGGCGCCGGGAGCAGGCCCGACACAGGCTTAAAGATGGTGCTTTCTTCATGGCCTCGGCCAGGATGTTCAGCACAGGCGACTCGAAGAGCGATATTCTTTTTGCACAAAGGGGTTACATGGGTCTGGAGGGAACAGTCAATGTAATGGAACCTGGCCCACTGGGATTGTAACACAAAAGCCACTGTATACATTAAATATTTACATGCACGCTCACATAAGATAATTTTTTTACATATATAAAACACAATGATATGGTGTGGCTATCTTCCAATTCCCCAACTTTTGATGCATCTGCACCATCTGCAGTCCCCCCCCCAATTGGGCTGTTTGAACTCTCCACCGTTCCGTCACGCACACTTACCCGCCAGGCTCCAACGAGGAATGGCACCCGTGTGCCGGCGCCGAGGGTGAGCCAAGCGCGGGACTATGCCATGGGAGAACAGGAGGAGGGTGCGTTGCGGAGACGGCACGCACCTGGTTCTGTGTGGTGAAGTAGTACTGGGGCCCCGTGCCGGTGGCCTGCGAGTACTGCATGCTGTACGACAGCGGGTTGATCATGGTGGGTGCAGCCTGCTGCGTGCCGGGCTGGTACATGCCGGGCGCGGGCGCCGGGGCCATGCTGCGCATGTTGGGCTGGCTGCCGGCCACTCGGGGCCCGCTGTTTTGGCTCACGGGCCTCGGCTGCATGAACTGTGGTGGGGGGGGGGGGGGGCGGCATGGGGAGAGGGGAGGGACAGCACGGGGAGAGGGGGGTCGGGACACGCGTGCACAGACACGCCTCGACTTAACACGGCGCCCCCTCTCTTGGCGACACTGCATCTTCGGCCCCGTGCAAGGTCTACAATGAACGGGTGTGTGGGGGGGGGGGGGGAACCGCCAAATTCATTTTGTCGTCAAGCTCTCTCAAAGCGCATTTCCAAAGCTTGAGTTCGTTTTGGAATCCACCCACTTACAAGGAAAGCAGGGTATATAGCTTCGTGTGTGGCTCCTTGGATTTTTGAGTAGAAGAGCAGTTGCTTTGTTGACTCGATCTGCACAGACTCTCCACTCAAAATGGCCCACGTGTAACCTCTTCCGTGCGCTATGCAGGATGGGGGGGGACAGCAATGTTCCTGCTGCAATTGCAGACAATTTGGGCCAAGGTGTTGAGAGGCGCAAAGAAAGGCGGGGGGGGGGGGGGGGGGGGGTTGGTCCACAGTAGTCTGACAGCAGGCACACGGACTACGCTTTGCCCAACTGTAGAACTGATGTGGGGTCCAAAAACTTTCAACGTGGCTTCGCAGGAAGTTGTTCCAAATAGAAGTCTTTCCCACGGTCTAATCCTTACGACTCCCATCGTCTCGCTCCACCAATCGCAGAGCGGCAAATGTGCCCGTCCGAATACGCAACCACGTGAACGTTATTACCTTATCGTAACATGTGCATTCACCTCCAAATAGTCCTCGTCACTGGCAGTTGAGGCATTCCCCCTCCAATGAGGGGAGTCTGTTTTACTCTGCCACACAGGCCAATGGGGTACCCAGCATATGCTGCCAAAAGCGACCTATCAGTCGGCTAAACAATCATCTATACACATGTGCAGACATAACGGAGATATATTTTTAAAACATTACTACGGTTCATATACCTTGGCCTTTTTATATAGAAGTAATCTCTAACTGCCATGTGCATTTCAACCACGACATTCAAGTGAAGTAAAAATAAATGTCAAATGAGGAAAATTAATATACTCATTCTGACAAGAACGCCGACAGTCCTAAGTCACAATCAGCAACATTTAAATGCTCGCATCAAAATTCTGGCCACAGCTCAAGCTCTGTACTCTGACCACCCTGGAATTAGTTCTATCATTCTAAAAACCTCTGCCCCCCCCCCCCCCCATTTCAGTCATGTGGTGTTTCACATAGGTGCCACACAAAGGCCACCAAAACTCCAAGCTGCTGTCAGCATGTCAGCACTCGGAGACAGCGCCACGCTCGCGCAAAGCACCTGCAATTTAGCCTGATCCCTCTCGTCGAGCAGCATGAGACTCCTTTATAGCCAAAACGTTCTACGAGGAAACCTCTTTTTCAGAGCGGCAGGGCCGACAGACGAGTGTTTCGGAATGAGTACTTGGCGAAAAATAAAAAATAAACTCCATGCGTGCCGCATGGACGGCCGCCCCAGAGAGCGGAGCGCCGTGAAACGGTCGCCCGTCGCGACGCCGCACCGCAAAATTGACAGGGACAAACGCGCGCAAAAAAAGTAGCTGCACCAGCGCTCGTGAGATGCGACCGCTTGCACGAGGCTCGCCCATACGGCAAATGGGGCACGCGTAGTGCCGACTCGTAGCCGACGCACAACCTCGAGCTGCCGCAAGGTTCCCAGCCCACGACAGGCAGCCGTGCTAGTTCGCAAACCAACGTTTAAAATTTGCTGCCACAGCGTTTGGGACATTTGCACACTCGTGCACGTGCACCCATCCATACATGACAAATCCCAGAGAAGGATGCATTCGAGATCATCAACCTCATCACATTCGTGACTTTTACCCATTCAGAAAACCAATTTATATATCTTGGGGAAAAAATAATTACACTGTCACAGATTTACAGTTTGAGATTTTCCAATATTTTCTCATAAGTCAATATCAAGTACTGTGTCTAATATACACAATCACATGATAAACCTAATGGAGTAGATAAAAACGGGAGAAGCAAATGCAGAATAGTTTTAATCAATGGACAGGAAACAGAACTACCAAGGAATTTATCAAGGCTATGCAATAATCTGCAAGTCTCGAGAAACTCCAGCTCGTAACAACAGGGTATTCTTCTTCCCCTTTCTTGAGAATGTCTTGCTCACTCAGCATATGGATGTCAGAGTGGTGCACAGTAGCAACCGCTCGTGCCTCACAGCAAGACGGGCCTGGGATCGATTCACCACCTCGGGTACCTTTCTTTGTCGAGTTTATATTTCCTGTTTCTGCATAGGTATATCCCCCTCGCCGCTCGGTTCTCCGGTTTCTTCCCATAGCAAAAACAAAGATCCCTCGTATAGCCTTAGACTGTTTGGACAAGTGCTGTTAGTGAGCAGCACCTTTGAAGGCCGGCACAGCCCAAGAAGGGGTGGGTGGCCAACACCACGCACGGCTGCCTTAGTGTCCCTAGTTACGATATTTATACATCGCACCAGGTACTCATTTGAAGTTAAGTCGACCTAGGGGAGGCCCAGGACCGGTTCAGATGATCGTCACTGGTGTTGGCCGTGAGCGGGAATCGAACTCGGGTCGCCGGGTTCGTAGCGCAGCGCGCCAACCGCTACACTACCTATCCACTCTAAAACGCGCAAACACACATACACAAAATGGTATTGGCCAAAACATCCCAATACTGAAATATTACCCGCAAGTTACTACTCAATTGGGACTACACGTAGCAATATCGCCCCACTGCGACAACTTAGTTAGGACCCCGTGCCAAGAGTGTAAACTTGGCGAGGCTTTTCTGGGTAAACAAGCATCATAACGGAATATCTAACAAACGCATCTTATCTTAACGAAATTTATAACGGCGCCTTAACCAAGGCACTTCACAGAAAATTAAGAATGATACAATGTGTGCGAATGTAATGGTGGAAATGAGGCGAATAAAATAGATGAGAGGAAGCAATGGGGCGAATCTGTGTAAATTCAGTGAAAGCGAAATTGATGAAAGTAAATGATGACGATGATTAATGGATTGAATGAAAGGGGAATGAGTGATCACCACATAATGAGAATATTAAGACGAAACAGGAACGGTGGTGGTGCTGGTGGTTATGGGGGGGGCGGGGGAGAATGTAACCAAAATAAAATAAAACCTTTAAAAAATGGGATCATGTAAAAAATAAAACTTCAGCAATACCACCTCAATGCAGCTCACAAGAAGCAAAGCAACATTTGGACAAGTGCTACATCTGACCCAGGCGGGTGCCAAAAATCCAGACAACATTCGAGACACTCCCAATAGTCAACAACGAAAATTAAATATACTCCCGAGGGTAAGCAAAGTGTTAATTAATAAAGGGTCATTACCTGGATGGGCCTGAATCCTCCCTTTGAGAGAAGAGCAGGCAGGTGTGGGGAGGGTGGGGGGGCAGGGGGTCACACGGCAAAGGAGAGGACAGACAGGAAAGAGAAGCCACAATGAGACCCAAGCACCGCACACACAAACACAAACAGCGAAGCAACACAGCACGCGGCAGCGTGGCGCAGCGGGTTGACATCCGTGCCTCTTGGCAACAAGGGCACTGGGTTCCCCTCTCATAGCTACAAAAACACCTTCCAAATTACTCGATTGAGTTTACAAACAGCAGCAACAATGCCCCCCACCCCCCAAAAAAACAAAAACAAAAAGGGTCTTGAGACTCGGCGAGGTTGTTTTGGCAAAAAAAAGCATAACAAGGGGCAGCAGCACCCTCACTGGGACCGAGCATTCACCAAACGATTCCTTACGCTGGAAAAAAGGGGAATTCCCCAAGCATTCCTTAACAGCCCCTTTTGCAATGCAGCATGGTCAGCCACAGTGGTGGCCAAACAATCGTGATTTTGGTCTGTGCCTGCTTCGATAAAAAGAACGTTTCCAATTGCACCACCGAGGAGGGTGGCGTGGAAAATAAATCGCAAAGACGAGTTTCTTCCTCTTAAGACACTGCCCAACCGTCTCCTCTCCAAAACGTCACCTCGCACAACATGCAGAAGGTCGTGGGTTCAATCCCGACTGATGCCTGCTCTATATTTGGAGCTTGCATGTACTTTGCACTATCATGTTTTTATACTGTTTGCTGTTGTAACGTTCTTACCCGCACCTACTGGATATCTGTGAAAAAAAGCTTTATAGCTCATCGGATTCCTGCAGTATAAATATTATTCTGCATGGTGTCTCTCAAAAGCGTTTAGTCCCCCGACTAGACTCACTTTCCGCAACAACTTAAACAATGGCTCAGCCAACAAACTCATTCAGATGCAATTAGCTTCTCATTGCCTCACTGGCTGCCATGGTAGCCCTGCGCACAATGATAAAAAACTAACTGCACCTCCAATTCGCACGGTTGGCTACGTACAGTGCGAAAGTTAAACATACGCACAACCTCCCGCCAATCTAGAATAGTGTTCTTTCTTTTGGTTTGAACTTCACATTTCCCACAGTTTAACTCTAGGCCTGCACGTTATGTGCACACGGCCTAGTGTTAGGCACATGTACGCTGTTCGCAGGTCTTATTTTTTTCTTGGGTTCCGTATTTAAACCGCCTATCTCCAGCTAAACCCGAATTACAGTTTACTCCAGTCTGGCTTCCAAAGCCTTTACTGTAGGTGTCACACTTTCATAATTTTTATCCAATGGTAATGTCTATCTCTTTCCTGAAAATTACAATACATAACTGGCATTACCACTGCCGCAACCTTGGGATGCCAGTGCATCGCGATACCAAATCACATCGAGCTGCTGGACTATTGCACCCTTGCTTCAGTCTTGCATAACAGGGAGATACACATTTGCTTGGTTCTTTCGGTAAAGTCACGTAGAAGGGAAACAATAAAATAATAAAAATATAAAACAGTAACAGGGAGATACACATTTTGCTAAGGTTTACACATTTTCATGCTCGAGCACAAATACACCAACATTTGGTTATAATGAAATGGCAAGACTATTGCAAACCTACAGAAAAAATGGGAGTCTCGTGATGCATCGGGGATCTTGGGCAGCTGAAGCAAAATAGCAAGAGAGACGGGAGCTGCATTTCAGAGAGGACTAACATTTTATTTGACGAGCCACCTTCATGACACGCAATGGTATATTGGTGGATTCGGTGCACTCATCATTAGCGAATTTAACACCGGCTGATGGCTCGTGCATTTCACTGCTCGCCTCAGCCGCTCCCCGCCGACTCAAGCAGAGTAATGCTGTGTTGCGCCACCTGGGCTAACGCATCAATCGGCGTGAAAGGGAAGCGTGGGACACGACACCTCACTCGCCGTTAATCCCGAGGATTTGCCACGTGCAGCTGCAACGCCGCATTCCTGGCTACAGCTCGCTTGCTGAAGGACAGGCCAAGCGGTGGGCCGTCCCGCCGAGGCCGTGCGACACTCTGGCCCATGGCCCACTTACCCCACCCGACTTGACTTGTGACACAGGCCGATAGCAAACACGTGTCTAATGTATGTATGCCGAACTTATTTCGCACCGTACGGAGCCAACCGCGCTCATATACTCATGCTATGGTGCCTTGTGAAGACCGAACACTTCTGGAGCTACTGCAGTCATCAGCATCGTGACAACGCAGAAACTCCATGGCACGGACTCCAAGGAAATGGCATTTGCAGTCAACTCAGCAGGTGGCGCTACTGTGACCCACAGAGAGGCTCAACACATCCTGATGAGCAGTCCCATCTTAGCTCTCGGGTCATATGCTCGGCTAATTAAGGAAAAATCAAGTGTTTACACGATAGAAACATTGTACTGTCGTGAGATGTTAACTACCTCGCCTAGTATACAGTGGGTCGTGGATTCGATCCACTTTGTTGAGCTATCATTTGTGGCCAATCGCTTCTGAAAAATAATTTTATAGCTCAGCGAGCCTTACCTGGTAAAATAAAAATACATAAATATAATAAAACACTAACTCAATGCACTTGACAATCTGTTTTAAACATGAGCAGCTGCCTGGGTTTGAACCCAGATTTCTGGCATTGACACGGGCACCTTTAAAACAAACCACCCGAACATTAACATTTGTTCACAACCCATGGTGCAATTATATTTTCCGTCCAAGAATCCGGATTTGCTGAAGAAAATCTCCTTTGAGAGGCTGCATAAATGGCATCATGCGAAGAGTGGAAGCGGGGGAAAGGGGGATGCGCACGCGGTATTACACGGGGGGGGGGGGGGGACGGACAAGAGGCACACAAGAGGACACGCAGACCACAGCACAAAAATACGAAGCTCCGCATGGCGCGAGGACCAATGGAGGCAGGGCAAGTGGACCAGAGGGCACGAAAGAAATCGACACACATGGGTCACAATGTAGGGTGCCGACACGGAACAACACAGAGGACAAACACCGCTCTGGTCATATCGAGGGAAACGCAAACACTGCAGCACTAGGGGAGGGGGGCAGCACTGGGGGGGGGGGGGCAGCACTCAAGAGCTTCACGGAGGTATTGCCTTTTAATGGCTGGAAACGGTTGGAGAGGGAGCCCGAGCATCTCAACCCACAGTGCGCGCTGGCTCCGACCTGGTGAAGTGAGATGTTGCTTGTATATTCATTCACGGTCATTCACACGATTTGACGCATGCCAATAGATCGTGCGAGTGTGCATTACCATCAAAATTACCACCACCACGACCCACCATCATCATCATCATGACCACCACCATCATTACCACAATCACCACCACGGGGAGACACGCACCCCCGATTAGCAGGGTTGGCTACATACAGTGACAAAGAAGTTCAACATGCATACCCCCCTCATTCCAATGCTCCACGAGTCCTCGACACTCAATGCCAAGAAACCCCTTCTCCACTGCTTTACACGCTTGCTGTAGATACCAATAATCTGCAACCCTTAATGAACTCAACTCCTTCCCAAATTATTCCCTTCGGTGCCTTTCAAGCTACAAAATGTCAGCATTATCCAGTTCTGACATCAATACGCTTAAACACCGTTTGGAAATCGTTAAAAGCTCTTTAGTTATATACAGACATTTAAGAACGCAGTGAAATCGTTCCTGAATTGGAAGCTTGTGCTTGATGCATCAGCATCGCTCTGGACAGGCCTGGCCACGTTTAAACAGCTGGGGAGACTGGACCACTCGCGCGAGCGGTGAAAACAACAATAACTGTTTTGCTTGGTGGAACTCAAGAGGGGCAGCGCAGCAGAATCCACTCTTGTCCTCCACTTGTTGTACTGTACTTCTAAGCTCGCATGTATCCCCCGCCCTCATCCAACCGCTTTCACCAACCCACACTGGCCAACGTTAAGTCAAATAGTCTGCGTGAGCCGCATGGTGTGAGGAGGGGGACCTCATCATCCAGTGGACTGACAAAGGGCTGTACATACATAAACACTGCATGTAGGCTTCCTCCCATAATGTCCACTGGTCTTGGCTAAACATCCCCAATGTTGAAAATGTACCTGAAAATGTCCTAAACTGGGATTACCCACAGCAGCATTGGCCTCTACTTGGCATCACCCTCCCCCCTTCGAGGGAGACTTGAGGATTTCCTGGGTAAACAAGTAATACCAAAAAAACTAAGACAAAACATCCCCCACTTAGCCTTAGCAGACTGTTGGGACAAGTGCTGTTAGCGAGCACCTATGACGGCCGGCACGGCACACGAGGGAGTGGGTGGCTAGCCCAGCCACATTTGTGTCCCCCAGTTGCGATGCTTACACACCACACCAAGTACTCATCTGAGGCCAAGTTAACCTCGGCGAGACCCAGGAACCAATTCGTCCCGTGTACATGTGGGACACATGCACAAGAGTTTACGTGTCTCGCCCTAGCAGTTTTGTCCTGCGAAGACATGTACACGTGTGCGAAAAAGTCTCAAATAATCTCACAGCACAGACCACGTGTGGAGGGAACAAGGGTCACGGGGCAAGCTTCTCACCCAACGGCCGACAGCTCTGCACAAGACATGCACACGCTGCCAAGCCAGAATTGCAAATCTTTGTCTGGAGCACAAGAGGGGCGAGCGAACGGCGATTCAACTCGAAACCCTTGTTCACTTTATTAAAATGTACCGCTGGCCTTTTCGGCGGTCACGTAATCTCTGTAACGCCTGTAAAATTGTACGATTGCTAAACAATTGCCGGCATGGACCGTGACTGAAGCAGTGTCTGGCTCCGTAATTATTTGGCACCATGTCATTTAGAGCTGGCAAGAGATTAGGTTGTCGAGCGTTCGCACGCACACACACACACGTGCTCGCACGCACGCGCTCGCACACACGAGCACGCGTTGCATATTTTCACACGGGTTTGGCTACGGTACAAAATGGAAGTGAATATGCACACTCTATGATCGTGTTCACATGGAGTCTAGGAGGACGGACCTCAACAGATGCCGCTTCAAAACAACGTTGTGATATTTCCAAACACGCGCGCACAGTCTGGATATTAGAGTGGTAACCAACCTTAGCAGCGTTAATACCGTGGGCTCCACACAGCTAGCGGCTTGTCAAACACAAGTCCAGTGGAAATATAAATGATGTGGCGTGTCGTACCGTGGGTGGTCAAAATAGACTTAATAAACGCATCATGGTGTTTTATTCGGCGCTAAACATGTAAACAAGCTATACAGCCGTGCCAAACAAGAATGTAATCATTAGCTGGGCCAATCCTCCTCTTAGGCCCCGCGTAGGGTGTGATGAGACATCACTACAGGGTGAACTATTTGCTAAACGCTCACTAAATGTTATACATTTGTAGTGACATCACGGATGTCACTGTAATGCCGGCTCGAGAGAGGCACGGCGTGCGATGTATTGACATCGCGGGCACCACGTGTATGTGGGTGCAGTACCGGCCCTGGAGGGGCTCGGTGAGCGCTGACTGACAGCGCTGGATGGCACCACGCTCTGCGTGCAGTGCCGACCCGTACAGGACAGGTCGTGAGAGTGCCCGGCCATGGGAATGGGGTTACTTGGGACCATTGCACTCTGGTTGACCCCGAAGGACACGTGACTGGTAAAGTCTACACAGGGCCCCCAGGTGGGGGTTAGGGGTGGACACGTGTTAGGTCCGAGATGCTGCTCGAGGATTCTAGAAGGTGGACGTGGACAAGGGCGGAGCCAGCCCCGCCACAGAGGATATAAGCCGTGTCCCCGAGAGGGACCGGCTGCTGTTGTTAATCCTGAAGAATCTACGTTCTACGGAGTCACCAACACGTGGACCCGGATCCCAGCTGTGGTCCGGTCCGTTGTAGCTAGTTACCGTGTAATTAGTGCAGTGAGCGTGGTGGTCCACCATCATAGGTTGTTATAGAGTCAAGGGGAGTTACCCCATGTGTTGGAATTAATAAATGTGTTGCCTGCAAAGAGTACGTCTGCGACTCAGTTGCATCCACTACACATTCATGAACGCCTGATGACACAAGCCCAAGCTATGCAGAAACAGCAACACAAACCAATGCTTACTTCTGATATCATCACCACGGAGATGTCCGCACGCTATTCAAAGGCTCCGTGGGAAAGAAAAACTGCCTACAGGCTGTACCGAGCTCACGCCCGAATGCACTATCAATTTGATGTTGGATTGCCAGAGGTGCGCGCTTTTAAAAGCAATCCAACAAAACAACAAATAAAATCAGCCACCTGCTGGGTACATAGCAAATGTATACAATACCAAACTGAGTTAATCACAATCATTTGGCTTTTTTTATTTATATTTAGTGAATGTCTTAGCTTTCCTATACTTTTCACTATTGTGTTTGTCTCGTTTGTTCTTGTAACTTTCTGACCTGCCCCTACTTGACATCTGTGAAAGAGAGCTTCAGAGCTCAATGGATTTTTCCAGTCTAAATAAAGATGCCGATTCTAAACTATTTGACGAATGAACAAAGTGGAGCCTGTGATGCGTTAATCCATTCGTTGACTTATTCCTGGAATGAAGAATTAACCAAATTAGATTTAGGGCAATGCCGAGCGAAGACGCCTCTGGAGCAGCAACCTCGCCACATCCGGCTGCAGTATCCACGTGTTCCTCCCTCCATACAACACACAGCACCCGTGGTGGTGACCAGGAATATCTCACTTGGGCTCATGTGCCAATCAAATAAAACTAAACTATTTCTATTTTACCAGGTAAGGCCCAGAGCATTATAGCTTTCTCAGCAGAAGCGACCTGGCCATCACCACATTCTAAATGGAGGAGGACCCAGAGAAAGTCCACGCAACCACGGCGAGAACAAGCAAAATCCAAATATACAGCAGGCATCAGGGTCGGGATCGAAACCACAACCTCCCGAATACCATGCGAGGCAGATGTTAAACAAAATCACCTCACCAAGCCTTTCAAAGCACGTGTTGGATGCAGTATAAATGTAAACTTCATTGCTGATGGTTAAACGATTCAACATCTACGACAATTGACCCTTGGATTAAATTATAGTCCCATGTTAAGATCTTGCACAAATGAAAATCTATTCAATACTCATCATTTCATCTGATGTCACCATTCATTCACAGCTCATTTGTGGACATGGGCAAAAGAGAAAATGCCGCGGACTTAAATAGCCATGACTAAATATTCATGCCACAAGAGCCTTTACACCTTTTCCTTAACCTCCAAAGTACGTAACGGTGACGCGTTGCAAATTGAATTTAATTTTAATTGACACGCATTTCCCACAAGTGCTCAAGAGGCCTTCTTAGGTTGCTACATCCCAGGGAGCTTCTAGCTCCTGTGAAGGTCTACATGGGTGGCTCACAAAGGAAGGCCCCGAATTAATTTCCTTTCAGACAACTGTTGCAATTAATCTCCCCCTGAGGATTAGTGTCCTCTTGGCCTACAGCAGCCGATACCACAAGGGGAAGCCCCTCTCTCGCTCCATCGCCCACACCGGACCCCTAACAGCCGCAGCTTTTATTTTACCAATTAAAAGCTCAGCCTGGTTCTAGCATTCACAGAGAGGTCTCCCCCATTTCCCACAAACACAGGGCATTATTAAAAATATACACCATCTGTCATCACATTATACATACTGTACGAACAGAAACTCTAAAACATGCTTAACACATTGGCACATCCAAAAACCTAGCAGAGGCAGCCTGCCGCTAATACGAGCTTGGCAACGGTGTCATGCCCAGAGAGCAGGGTCATGTGTACATTGACTAGAGGTAATCGGGAAAGAGGAATCCTCGGCTTTTAAAGAGCTTACCTGCATCTCATGCTGAGGCCATCACAGCTGAGAGACTCGTCTAAACACCCACTTACTCAAAAGCCACACTCAGCAAACACAACGGGTGCTCACAGGTGATCATTAAACGCAACCTAACCTCAAGCGATCAGTCAGCATTAGTGGTCTTAATAGAGATTTCGACCGTAAAAATTGGGGTTTAGAGAAATCTCATTTATATTTTTAAAAAATCCTGCGTTAATAACGCATTGCAGTCCTAAACACTTGCCCTGATCATGCTGCCATGCTAACGTGGGCATTGGCTACAGCAGGCGAGCGGTCAACAGCATCGCGTGGTATGTTCAGCCTTACGGCCAGTGGGCCACTTTCAAATTGGGACACTTGACGAGCGAGAAATGCGACTGCTCGGCAACGGGGCTGGATTTTGATGGGCAGTGGGGGGGGCTCTAGAATTTCAACGACCGCGATCGCTCACTTCAGTTTTTATCCAATTGTTTGATTTGAACCGCTTCCCCAGTCACCGACGAGACACGTCTCGCACCGTACAAAAGGGCGCCGACAGACGTCCACCCACACAGGCAGTCAGCCAGTGCACAACGACCACGTGGATCTTTGACGAGAAACCACCACTTTCAAATCAAGGGATGCTTTCCGAGCAAAAGGCCAAAGGTTTCCCTGCCCCACCCCCTTCCAGTTTCTGAAGGAGGCCTTTGCTTGCCAACTCAGCCAGCCTTTCATTCCCCCCTTCACCTGAGCGTACGGTCATGGTCGCATCATGCCTACACCATCGCAGCATTCAGCGGGTTTAAGAGGCAGCTGGGTGCTAGATAGAGGTGGTGCGGGGTGAGGAGGGTCAGAGGGAGGGTTATTAGTACCTGGTGGTGCAGCGCACGGGAACCATGTGGGAGCTTTATTCCAGGGAGCACAAGGGGTGGGGGCAGGTGGGGGAGAGAGCAGAGGAGCCAGGGTAACGACAAGGGCAAGAGAACCACAGGTGGGAGGACAGAAGGGGGTGGAACAGGTGGGAACAGGATTTAAACCACTTGTCACAAACCTCGTGGAAGCGCTCGGGAGAGCAGGTTAGTTACGCAGCGCATCACAACCACACCGTACGCACATCTGTGGGAACGCCGCGACGACAGCGAATCCCGTTTGGATCAAACCATAATGTCGCTGTGATGCCATTATAGTGCCATAACACCGTTTTATTAACCTGTGGAAAACACAAAGCCACTTCTCGCTCTCAGACCTGGATTCATGCGACTGGGTTTCTGGTTGCGGCAGAGACCGGGCAAGCCATCAGGGCGAGCCTTAAACAGCGGAGCTTAGCTCGAGCCAGTCATCTCTCCGGCCCCATGAGTTCGTTACATGGCACGTACGTGCGTACCCACTTTGTCAATTCGCTGCTAGCTGAGGGCCTTCCCATACCGTGGGTGTTAGTTGACATACTTCACCACGCTGGTCAGTGAACATGGCGGACATAGACATGGGAAGCATAGTACAGCACACCAGTGGAATTTCCTGCAGTGCCCTCTGCTGTCCAACACGAAGGCCTGCAGCCCGATGGTAACACCGGGGTTAGTAACATCTCACCACCGTGGGCACCACGATGGCGAGATGTTAACTACCTCACGTGGTATACAGGAGGCTGTGGGTTCGATCCCGACCCTGACACCTGCTGTATATTTGTAGTTTGCATGTCTCTCTCCCCGGGGCCGCTTGGATTTTTGTCCCGGTCCTCCGGTTTTTCCCTCCACATTTAGAATCTGCATGCATTTAGAGCATATGGCTGCTATAAATGTCCACGTGATAAGTTACTTCATTGAAGCTATCTATTGTGACCAGGTCACTTCTAAAAAAAGACCTACATTGCTCAGTGGATCTTACCTGTTAATTTTTTTTTTACAGAAACTAACTTGAGCCTGGATAGCACTCACATGGGCGACCACCATGCACAAACTAACAACATCCTTTGCCAGAACCTAAATATAAGAATAGGTTTTCCCCTTTTTTCTGGCAACAAAAAAAGGTGTTGAGATGTTACAACACGAAACTGAAACCTTTTAGCGTCCTCTGGTCTAACACCATTTGAGACGAGGCTCGAAATAAAGCTGTCTCTGGTGTGGACCAATCAGTTTCAAAGACAATGCATATATTATCAGAGTATGTTTTTTGTTTGCATTCTGACCACAAGCATTGTGGTTAATGCAGAAAATTATTCCTTGTAAAAGGTTTCAGCTTGGCGTTTTAACATCTTAACACCTATATTTTTAGCTCTTTCGGTAAAGTCACATTGAAGGGAAACAATAAAATAATAAAATTGTTTCCCTTCAACGTGACTTTACCGAAAGAGCTAATAATATGAATTACTGCAGTCACGAAAGCATTACACCAAAATCTTAACACCTGTTTTGTTGCCAGAAAAAAAGGAGAAAACCTATTCAAAGCTTGACCAACTTTTGCTATCCGATTAAGACTGGGTGCATTTTTGGAAATTTCGTCATCGGCGCCACACAGTTTAGGGAATCCGTCCGTGTTGTGCCACTGCTCACGACAGGGAAGTCGCTGCGAGTAGCAGGCACGGGATCCTGCCGGCAGAGCCGCATTTGGACCTTCACCCTGACGGTTGCGACGCTCGCTCTCCGCGCTGCGAGATCACCGCACGGTAACAAAAAGTAAATTGCGAAAAAAGTCGCCTTGCAAGAAGAGTGCTCCATACAGACGGCATCAGCCACTGGTGTCACTATTTTTCACCAAAAATATCTATGCTCATTGGTTCAGGCGCAGCAGCTCACTAAAGAGATGGCCTTCTGGGCGCTAGGGATGCACAATGGAGAGCCAAACTAGGAGCAGTAGGTGGTCGCGTGAATGTATGCGACACCGGGGGTCAGAGGACTTGGCCTCCGCTACAGTGATTGAAAGTCTAAATTAGTGGAGTCTTGCTACATACACCAAGCTGCTCAGTCACGCATGCCTCGATAATAATCCCCACACCTCCATGCGCATAATTCTCCTCTGCGGATTGCAATGTTAAAACAATTCCCTCTACATCTCCCAATAAGAAACGGCCCCATCCACCACGTGACATTCCTCGCACGGGTGTGGAATCCATCTTGAACAGAATGCATTTCACCATCACGCGCTGCTGCTTCGCACACCCACACTGCTGCAATGCGGCGCCCGGACAAACGGCAACGCCCCGATCGCTCAATCAATCGCGCACAATGCCCCAGGAATGTGCGCGCGCGAGCTCATTCGGCCAGAGTGAGAGTTCACAAGGGTCATCACACCTTGCCCTGCTACCCACCCAGTCTTCAGGGGACTGGCACTAACCTACCATGGGCACCATCGTCTCTCCACCGCAACAGCCGAAACCACCAGGCTCATTCAACTCACCTTCGGCGATGTCAAGATGTGCACGATCCAGGAGGATAGCTTTGGGGAAAACACTACGCTGGCTCACGGCTACTAAACCCCCTTGTGAATCAGGTGCCCCAGCCTTCGCGTCGCTGAAAGAGAGCTATATCGCTCAGTGGGCCTTAGTTGTTGACAGAAGCCAAGCAAAATCTTTAGCCTGGAAAGCGCTCGCATGGGCGACCACCACGCACAAGATTGCTTTGCTTCTGTCATCTCATTTGGTCATCGACGCCGCATGGTTTACGGGAATCCATCAGTGTCGTGCCACAGCCTGTGACAGGGAAAGCCACTGCCGCCGCCCGCAGCTGTTGCTCCACTGGCCACTTGGAATGCGCTTGGGGGAGTGTTAAGAAAATATTTGGGAGTCAACATGGAACACGCTGCTAATTAACATCGGGTAATTGCTGCATTTTTCAACGTTCAGACGTGGATTAGTATTTAAAATATTTAATGTTTATTTAAGCGGTATTTAATTCTTTTCTAATTCTCAATATGGTTTACATTGTAACGGTTGTTAGAATATAGCGATGCTTATATCCGGTCAAGAGAATAAGTTGATGGAGACTGGTTTCTGGAACACAAGTCAGCGGACATGTGTCCACACGTTTAGGTCCCTGCGGAAACCACCGACCAACCTGGAGTGGCAAAGTTCAACGAGCATCACCTACCCCACCGCTATGTGGCACTCTCTCATGCTCCGTCGACTGCCTGATTGTTTGTTTAGCACTGTATAACCACTACCATATGGCTCTCTCGATTCGCACTCGTGCTCTTTGCAATGCTGGGGGCCTCAGTGCTACGCCACAGGACAAGAGTTTCCCAAGCCATCAAACGACGTGTCATATGCTTGAGTTTATGTATTCGTTCCTGAAGTGTTGCATTTTGTTCAACATTTAATCCACTCAAACCATTAAGTAGAGAACACCAAAACACATTTAGAACTCCCAAAACGCTTGAGGAACCATCTGCATTCTAAACCACTAAAGCGACAACACTTCAGGTTACGCACCCCAAATATCAACTAAAACAGCACGCACACCGTATCAAGTACAACCTTTTAACACGTGTATCCATCACAATAACGAGGGGGTCTGGCTGGCCAGAGCCACCGCAGAATATTAAATGAGACATGCGCTCCCGCATACGTGACGACGACTGTGCCCTTGTCACCCGCATCCACTTATTATAAGCGCCGCCCTGAGAATAATCCCCGACGTGTCTTAACCAGGCCCCTATCACGGGCGTTCTTGCGGCTCCCATTCCCCCTGACGTCTTACGCAAGGCGTAATCGGCCAGGGTGCCTCACTTCAAGATGAGGCAAGCAGAAGCAGGCTCCACGCGTTTGAAGGCGGGTTTCGCAAACTGAAGGCAAGGTTGAAGGAGCACGGTGTAATTCGTGGCTGTAGACTCAATGTGGCCAAATGGAAATACCGTGAGGTCCGTACTATCTGGGGCGCCATGGTGGCGAGATGTTAACTACCTCGCCTGGTATACAGGAGGTTGTGGGTTCAATCCCGACAAAACGCCTGTATATTTGGAGTTTGCGTGTCTCTCTCCTTGGTCTAGTGGATATTTCTCCAGGTCCTCCGGTTTTTCCCTCCATATTTAGAACCATGCGTTGGGAGCATTTGGGTGCCATCACTTCGTTGAGCTATCATTTGTGATGGCCACACCGCTTCTGAAAGAGCTATATAGCAGGGCAGTGGGCCTTACCTGGTAAAATAAAAAATAGTTTTCATAGTTTTAGTTCCGATTACAAGACATCAGGACTGGCACCAAGCTGTTTGAGCCTCCCCGCTGTGTGTGTGGGGCGGGATCGCAACAAATGTCTCTACTGCCAACAGATGATTCACATTGCACACATTCCTGCTTGGGACTGGAATTTGTTTACATGCCACACCCCCCTTCTAACCCCCACCCCAGTAATCAAAGCATTCCCTGCAAGCATCCAGAACTGTAGCCTTGTTCAGCAATACTCAGGGAATACTGCAGAGCACGGGAGGTTGGATTGTTGGGCACTTGAGACGAGATGGCGAGGTGGAAACTGAGCCATCGTTCTGAATGCCACGCAGAGTATCAAAATGCGCAGGGGGGATGCCACCCATTGGAATGAACTGCATTGAGAACAAACGGTATGTACATCACAGTACACCGAGTGTGCTTATATACACGTGTACGGGTGGCATGATACTAAATGGACATTCACATAGGCTTTATAGGGTTGAAAATGAATATATATTTTTTCTCCACATGACACTTTTTACTGTGAATTTAAAGCTCACGTTAGGGACGGGTCTCATAACTTAACTTTGTATTCTAGCGGATTTGTCCAACTTTATTGACATCGCCCATAAGTTTAGGGTGCACCAGACTTTCTGGAGCATCTTAGAAGAAAGTGTCAATGGCAACAACAACCCATTGGGATCGAAAGGTGGATAAGACTAAAGTAATTGTGGACCCCTCATCAAGACAACCGTTTATTCTCTAAGTGTTTTTTTTTTATCACCGAACCCCTTACTCTACTACAATTGAGGTCAGAGATACATTTCAGCCGAGTACGTCGGAATCGGCAACTCAAGAGCAGCTAGTAATATCTCGCTGTCTCTGGCTACTCGACACGCCTGTGCCTACTCTCCGGACTAGCATCGACCCGGAAGATAATCAGTGCCAGTTCAGGCATGATTGCTGAGATTCAGCGAGAGCTTTACTTACAGGCCTCGGGGTAAGCCCAGTTTAGCCTCAAGCGCTATCATCACCATGCTGCTTTGGGCCCTGAGGGGATGTGGGGGGAGTCTGAGCGTCGCAAGTCAGTCTTCCTCATTTTGGCGTGACGCAGTCATTGCCCGGAATGCGTTAGCTCTGCACGTCTCCTCCAGGCTTTGCTGCAAAACAAGCTTCTCGATCACGTCCACAGCGGAGGAGCACACGACCGTGTCACACCCCTCCACACCAGAGTTAACACCATTCACAACTTTACCAAGATTTGGGGGGGGGGGGGGGGGGAGAAACAATGAGGCAGCAGAGTGTGCCTCAGCTGATAAGCCAGAGAGAATGAGTATTGGAGCCTACATGCATGCATAGGAATGGCTTCTGAAAGCGCGCACACACACACACGGAGCAATAAAAGTAAAAGGCGGAGGGAGCGGTGTCACACTCGCGAGGGAACACTCCATGGGGACTGGGGGTCGGCAACTGCTTTGTGGCTCCCGCGACACCAACATTTACAAGTAAAAAAAACCCCTCCTAATTATTTTCCATAAGCGGTGAATGTCAAAAAGCCAACAATTATTTGTAATGCATCATTACAAATCACTGTGCATGTGCCATTCTTAAAATAGGGGTTGAAAAAAGTAGTTTGATGTTATTCATACAGTACCGTCTCATATTCGCACGCACTGCGGCTTGAATTTTTTTTTCACCGAATTCTAAGAAAATGGATCTTCTTTGATATTTTGGGTTTCCGGCGGCCTGTCCCCTGAACCCTCCAGACTCGAAAAGCAAAACGAAGACGTGTGGAGAGGCGCGGGAGTCTGCCAATCGGGCGGCAGCGTGGGGGGGGGGGGGGGGAGCGTGGGGAGCAACGTTACCTGCCGCGTTTGGGGAGCCTGCGTATTCATGGGGGGCGGCTGCTGTGTCGGCGGGGCAGCCTGGAACACTAAGGACGGAGGGCCAGCTTGACTGGCTGTGTACGGGTGCTGCACACGCGCACACACACACACGGGTTGACACACGTACACACAAAGACCCCCCTCCGTATAGCCTTAAGACTGTTGGGGCAATTGATGCTAGCTAGCACCGATGGAGGCCGACATGGCACACGAGGGGGTAGGTGACCAACACCACGCCCGGCCGCCTTCGTCTCCCGAGTGGCAATATTTTACACAACGCACCAGGTACTAATTTGAGGCTGAGTCGACTTAGGGGAAGCCCAGGACCAGTTCTGATAATTGTCACTGGTATTGGCCATGAGCGGGAATCAAACTCAGGTCGCCGGGTTCATAGCGCAGCGCGCTTAACCACTACACTACCGCTCCCCACAAAAGGAACGTATTCTTGTAAGACAATATCCGAAAGATGTTAATCTTTTGTAGGTGAGAGCATGTCTGCCTCACCACATTAGGTCGACTCAGTCTCAAATGAGTGCCTGGTGCAGTGTGTAAACATCGCCACTGGGGAGAGAAAAGCAGTCGGACGTGTTGCTGGCCACTCAACCCCTTGTGCACCGAGGCGGCCTTCGTCACTTGCCCTAACCGTCTGTCAAAGGCTATAAGGGGGATCTTTGTCTTTGCCGCATCACATGTAAAAATGACACTGTGCTGATGTTGCACAGGTGTGCGTTCGTAATTGTACACACATAAAAAAACCCACCTAGAGATCTAGCCATCAGAGTGAAATGTGCCAAGCCTATATAGCAGACACGTATTGATATGCCCACACAATTACAACAAAAAGATACATTCGTTAGCCTAGGTAGACTGCAGAGGCAATCGCCGTTAACATTCACACTGCACAAGAGGGCGTTATATAGAAGCTCCAAGGGAAAGAACACGACCCACTTGTGAACGATACGGAGGCATTTAAAATCACTGCTGGGATCATGGCCCAGTTGTCCACCCACCGTGCTCCGACCACCCACTACACAAAGGGGGCCTCCGTTTAGCATAAAAGACCGTTCCAGCAAGCACAGGGCATGCAGAAGGATGTCTTGGCCAGTCCCGTGGCAGACACTAATACCACCCCTTACCCACCTGGTGGATTTGAGCTGACCAAAGGAAGTCTCACTCCAGGTAAAAATAACAATTGCCACTGGTATTGTACACGGCCAGGAATATAACTCAATTTCGCCAGTGTCAGAGCTCTCCACAGTGCCACAAAAGATGAGATATCCCTCTGTTACTTTTGAAAAAAAAGCTAATAGCTCAGTGGACTTTACCTGCTAAGATAAAAAATGTTTAGTTATATGTCTATATTTTCTTTAATTTCATATACTTTACACTCTTATCGTGTTTTTTTATTGTTCTAATGTTTTGACCTGCTCCTACCGAACATCTGTGAAAAAGAGCTTTATAGCTCATCGGATTCCTCCAGTACAAATTTTCTGATTCTAACCAAGGCGGGCGGCACCACAAGCTAACTTCATCTTCTCAGAGTTAACGTTTGCCCACCATAGCAGGTACTCATTTGAGGCAGAGTCGACCTAGGGAAGACCCAGGACCGGTTCAGATATAACTCGCCATTACTAAAAGTGAAAGCTGGAGAACTAGGCTTGTAGTGGTTAACGCGGTGCCCTGCAGCTCCCCAGAATGACAAAAGATCTCCTACATGTGCTGTTAGCGAGGAGTAGCAACCTATAAAGGCCGGCATGCCACACTAACGGTGTCAGGGATAGCCAGCACGACGCCTGGCCGCATTTGTCTCCGTCGTGGCAATGTTTACACAATGTGCCAACGACTCACTTGAGGGCGTTATGACCTCGGGTAGGCCCAGCACTGGTTCAAATTTTTTCGTCACTGACGTTGGCCGCAAGCGGGAATTGAACTCGGGTCGCCGGGTTCGGAGCGGAGCGCATACCGCTCCGCACCCACACAAACGTGCGCATGTGTGTATATTACATAAGTGAGCACGGACGTATAATACCGGTACACACCTGCTGCAGGCCGGGTGAGGGTGCGTGTGGGGGCTGCTGCGTCGGGGCCAGGGGCTGGGCTGCCTTGCTCATATCATGGGCTGCACCATAGGAGGCCTGAGGTGGCCCCTGCTGCCTGGAAACCTGCGTGACATTCACAACGGGCGGTTAGGCACACGGGTAGCAATACGACTAACCGCTCGTGCTCTACACCGCCCCACCCTCACCCCAAAAGACAACAATCCCCCGTATAGCCTTCACAGACCGTTGGGACAAGTGCTGTTAAGCAAGCACCTACGAAGGACGGCACACGGCACACGAGGGGGGTGGGTGGTCAAGCACTGCGCCCAGCCGCTTTCGTCTCCCCAGCGGGGATGTTTACAACACGCCGCACCAGCTACTCGTTTCAGGCCGAGTCGCCCAGGGGAGGCTCTGGACTGGTTCGAAGTTGTCACTAGTGGTGGCCACGAGTGGGAATCGAACCTCGGGTGTATAGCGGGTTCGTAGTGCAGCGCGCCAACCGCTCCACTACCCCTTCCTACCCCCACCCCCGTGACAATAGCCGATCGCACATCATCTCCCCGTTCGTGTCAACGGCCATTTCCTGCATCCCTATCCTCAAACTGCGATTCAATCCTTAGAATCAAGAAAATGATGGTATTTTAATCGAAGAGTTATTTTATAAAGAATCCTTGTAAGAGTTCCATGAGTGAATGGATACAGTTCACGCTTGATTATCCGTGGACATTTTATCTGGGTTACGAATTAACTAAACATGCGGAAATATAAAAATAATGAATGATACAACTAATTTTGTGGGTGTGCCGGATCTATTATTGGCTGCTGCTCACTCTGAGGGACAGTGACTTGGCAACAATTCAAAAACTTGATATTGTTTGCTTTTTTCAGTGCATGATGATTTACTAGACGCACATGACTTTGCACTGCCATGTAGATTTACATTTTACATATTTTCCCCCCAATGCTATGCAGGTAAACAATAGATTCTGTAAATATCCCAATTTTTATATTTAGCAATATCCCTCTATTTTGTGGGCCATCCCGCTCCCATTCATTCACCCAGACATTATCTTGACATGATAATGGACCATAAAAAAATCATAATTTCCAGCAATAAAGTGCAGTCACACATGCATACACACACACGGGTGCTAAAAAACAACCATGTATGATGGCATACACCCCCCTAGTGTGCTAAGCATGTAGCATCACGTGGGACGTGCAGTTTTCCCCCATGAGGATGGGGCAGACGCAGAGAAAGGACCGCAACATCGCACCAGTCTGTCTCATCGGAGGCATCTGGAAAGTTATTATGACGTCTGCATTACATAACAAGTAAACCTATTGATTGAGGCACGGAATTATTATTTTCCATCAACAGCGTCTATTTTCAGCCGATCCTGTGCTCTCATACACGAGGCAAGGCGGGTCTCTTCTAGAAATGTAACAAAAACGTCCAGCAGCTCGCTAATAGGTCTCAATGTCCCACTTGTCGTGGCTGAGAACTCTAACGGGACCCGTTTATCGTAAGCACTAGAGATAACCTGGGGCTTGAGTACAGAAAATATGCGTAAAATCCACCAGGCAGCCATTGGCGTCGGCTCAAAAAGAGCGTAGGTAAAAAGCAGACAGTATTTGTGCCCATCCCAGTGAGATCGCAACGCTGCGCACGGATTGCCAGGGATTGTGTCATTAGTCCCCCTACACAAGCCAATCAGCTGGCAGGAAACAACCCTCATGCAACAAGGCCACCATGAAGTCTCCATTCATGATGGCCACCATGACATTATCACTCCGCGTCCTTCAGATGCTCTTGGCTGAAATAAGTTGTATATTGACATTACGTATTTTTTTAAATAGCATGAGTATAATTTTTATTATATTCATATTCTTGGGTCTTTCGGTAAAGTCACGTAGATAGGCTCAAATAAAATAACAAAAAACTATGACGTTTCAATCGCAACACAAGCGGTCGTCTTCAGGAAAAGGGGGGTTAGCTTCCAAGGCAAACTGTTTATAAGGGTTTGAAATGGGCGTAGCCTAAATGTCAGCAGCCAATGATAATGCAAGTGTTGGGCAGCCAGCCCAACGCTGGTTGGTTTTCCACCAAAGGGCTGCCAGGTGAAAATTAGCATGTTAAAGAGAGATTAGCATGTTAATGGTAGATCGCAGAGCCACAACCAAGGGGTCAGTGTGCCAAGTGACTGTGAAAGCGTAAAGCATAACTAACATCGGAAGGTGGTAGGATGAAACATCATTGCCAATTATGACTTAAACTGGTTGATAACGTCCTTCCAATGAGTGCTCAGTTTGTACCCATCTTCTCGGTTGAAATTGTGTCTGTGTCTATATGTAGATGGCTTCAAGAACGAATCTTTGTTAATAGCCAGTGGGTTTGCAAGTACCTTCGTCTTAGAGAAATCAATTTCGCGTGAGCCCACTGCAATTAAAACAATGATCAGCCACGGCCGAGGTATTGGTCCTACCGTGTTTCAGATCTGCCTAATATTCACAAACACGGTCCGAGACATGTGGCTTAGTTTCCCCAATGTAACTACTGCCGCAGACACAGCTTAGTTTATAGAAGCCGGGGTATTCCATGTCAGGGATCACATCTTTCACAGATGGGATCGGATCACGAATTTTATGTACTGTGTTAAATAGAACCTAGATCTTGTGTTCACTCATGATTTTGGAAATCTTATTAGTGACCCCTGATATGTATGGCAAGGTGATGGTTTTGATTGGGTCCTCAGATGGTTCTTTCCCAACGGTTAGGGTGATAGCTTTGCAGATTGTGTAGTCTGAATATCCATTCATCTTGAGAGCTTGGTGTACGTGTTCCAGTTCAATAGCTAGATGATAACGGTCAGAAATACATCGAGCTCTATGGTGTAGAGTTTTGATGAGGGAATTATTCTGGGATGGATGGTGGTGGGAGTCAGGTTTTAGGTAGGCCTCCATATGGGTGGCTTACCTGTAAACAGAGTGTCCCATTGAGCCATCTGGTCTCTTTTGATTAAAACATCCAAGAATGGTAACTTGCCATCCTTTTCCACTTGCATGGTGAATTAGATGGCTGGGTGTGTGGAATTTATGTGGTTGAAGAATTGGTTCAGAGCTGGTTGGCCATGTGGCCAGATGACGAACGTGTCATCTACGTACCTCTTCCACAAGGACGGACGTAGAGTGGATGCATGGATGGCATCTGTCTCAAATTTTTCCATGAAAACATCGGCTACAACTAGAGATAAGGAAGACCCAATTGGGGTACCTTCAACTTGTTTGTAGAATGTTCCATTCCAGGTGAAGTGTTGGTGAGGCAGTGTCTCACCAGGACTGGTACATCAGCATTCAGTCCTTGTTGGACCAAATCTTCAATGATTGCAATGGTGTCAAGCACAGGAACTTCAGTAAACAAAGAGACCACATCGAAACTCACGAGCAAATCACCCGGAGATAGAGAGTTGTCCTTAATTAATGATACCAAGTGAGCTGCGTTGAGTACAGCTGAGGTGGTCTTACCAGTGAATGGTTGTAAGGTCTCAGACAGACATCGGGCCAGTTTGTAGGTGGGTGAGTCAATGGTGGAGACGATAGGACGAAGGGGTGTCCCTTCTTTATGGATTTATGGTGAGCCATATAATCTGGGTAATCTAGCAGAAGAGGATTCGATCAAAGATGTCGAATCAGTGATGATATTGTTGGTTTTCATAACGAGGTGGTTGGTGGGATCTCTTTTAATTTTGGAAAAGCTACCATCATTAATTAGGTCCTGAATTTTGTTATTGTATGTGGTTTTGTCCATGATAACTGTGGCATTGCCCTTGTCGGCTGAGAGGATGACGATGTCACCTCTCTTTTTAATTGAGAAAGCTCAAAGCGCTCATCTTTACTGATGCTGCTAATAGGTGTCTTGGCGTTTTTAAGGATTGCAGGGATTTCCGATCTTGCCACGTCTGCAGTAATGTGTCCCAAACCCTTAAGAGCTACGTCGACCTGGGCAATGATATCATTAACTGGGATGAGTTTAGTGGTGACTGCGAAATTCAACCCTTTGTCTAGAACCGATTTTAGGCTGTCTGAAATTGGACTGTTACTCTGATTGATAACAATATTGTCAACATCTAACTTTTTGATGTATGGATCTGGCTTCTTCTTGAAAAGTAGGTTGAACTTGGAAATCAGGTTATCTTTGCATTTACCTGACATTGAGGCGGCTGTTTGCATTTATGTGCGAGCGTGTGCACAGATATAATTCATTATTGTTGTAAATGAGAGTAAACCCACTACATTTACAATTTTACAAAATTGTAAATTTTACAAAATTGTAAATGTAGAGAACCTTAAGGAATCGCAGGGGGAAAACTCCACGAGGAAAAGCATCTTGAGCCAGGAATGGAACAGAGGCCCTTCTTGCTGTGAGGCCAGATTCATGGACAACACTGTGCCGCCCAAACGCCTTAAAGAGTTAACCCATCCCTTTGGCCCCTGCCAAGAGGATTTCACAGAAACAAAGTTGTATGTAGGTGTGATGAACTTCTTTCGCACCGTACATAGTCAACCGTGCTAATCGGCGGTGCAGATAGCAGAGAAAATATTGCACAAAAATATTTAGAGAGCGGTAATTTGCCCACGAGAAGGTGGCGCAGGCTCGCGAGCTCGCTGTGAACGTCATGAGCTCCATACTGCTGCGGTTACTGGCCCCATGTGGCCGGTTGGGTGTCCTGCACCGCTCCCTAAAAGAACAGCGGGGCCAGGATGTGGCAAATGGCAGCAATATTTCCACCAACTATAATCAACAGGGACTCAAAAATGACAAAATGTTTGAGTATTTTATGAATATTTTTTTTAGTTTTGGAATGTTTCCACACTGAAAATAGTGTGGGCCGGTTCTCATGCTGTACGACTCTTGAGCAACAGGTGTAAATTAACACTGCTATTGTTGGGGCCATTCACTCTGCACGACAACTATTCAACTCCACAAAGTGGTAACTATTTAATCAACCCCGACGTACGAGAATAGCAGCATCTAGAATATACATGGGGGGGGGTGGTAGGGGTGGGTTGGAGGAGAGAAAACTAAAAACAAAAAATATAAACTCAATCCCGTGACTGCGAGG